GACTGGATTGGGGGATGCCTAGACAATCAGTAAATTACTTTGAGTTGTGTGTGTAAGGGTGCTTCTGTAGCATGCCGGCCTATGAGTCTTACTATGTAGCCTAGGCCATGCTTCTGCCTCCCCTCTCAAGTGATGGAATTACAAATGTGCACCATCATACCCAATTCATTTATGTTTCTGTTTAAAGACACCTTGCTGCTGCAGGGCAGTGGTGGCCCACGCCTTTAATCCCAGTACTCGAGAGGCAGAGCCAGGCAGAACTCTGTGAGTTCGAGGCCAACCTGGTCTACAGAGAGAGATGCAGAACAGCACCAAAGCTACACAGAGAAACCTTGTCTCGGAAACCTCCCTCCCCCAAAAAAACCCCAATAATAATAAAATAAAGACACCTTGCTGGGGCTAGAGGGGTAAAAATAAGAACACCTTACTTAGTATACATTATTGGTTCCTTAGCAGTGAACTTATGACCGGCAGCACCATAACTCATGCTGAATTTCCCCTGAAAGGCATGGCACAACCTTCTTGCATTAGGAATACAAGTCAACTCTTGAGAACTGCATGTGGGGATCACATTCAGCAGGAAAATCATCAGTAAAAGTACAACCTGCAAAAACTGGGGGACTAGAATTTGAAAAAAGATAATTATTTATAGTATGAGAATGGAATAAAATAGTAGGAAATCACTGTCTATGGATCAAAGATTTTGCCACTCTGTATGCCTATATGTAGGGTAAAAGAGCCAGCAAAAGAAACACACCCTGACCCTGGAACCAGAGCCAGACACACACTCTGCCCATGACCAATTCAGCACAAAACCAACCAATCCCTGAGCAAGAAAACCAACCAGTCCCTGAGCACAAAAGCAACCAATCCCTGAACACAAAATCCAGTCAATCTCCAAGCTCAGAGATTGAAGTCTAACCAATTCCTACCCTGAAAATCTCCACCCTGTAAAAACTCCACCCTAAGAAGCCCTATATAAGCCCCGTCCATGTTCAGTTGGGAGCTGCCTTTTTCCACCATGGCAGAGGAAGCCACTCTCCTGGATTCTTCCCTCCCAATAAATCTCTTGAATGAGGTTTGGGTGAGACTCTCCTCCAGTGAAGTGGGGCAGAGAAATAACAACTTGTCCCTGGAGCTTAAGTGGAGCAGAACTGTAACACTTTCACTGGGGAATCCTTCCCCTAGTGAAGCAGAGTTGTTATACTCTGGCCAACCTGAGCAGAACTGTAGCAACTTTGCAAGGGAAAACCTCCCCTGCCAGAGCAGAGTTGTTATGTTGAGGAAACCTTTCCCTGGAGCAGGGCTGTGAGCTGCTATTACAGTGACTTTGAGGTATTCCTTGGCTCCTGACCGCCAGTATCCCTTCCCATCCAAGCTGCAATGCTTACACTATGAATGGTCAATATAATTAACTAATTAATTTTAAATAATTAGTTTTTTGTTTTTGTTTTTTTTTTGTTTTTTCGAGACAGGGTTTCTCTGTGTAGCTTTGCGCCTTTCCTGGAACTCACTTGGTAGCCCAGGCTGGCCTCGAACTCACAGAGATCCGCCTGGCTCTGCCTCCCGAGTGCTGGGATTAAAGGCGTGCGCCACCACCGCCCGGCAATAATTAGTTTTTAGGCTCACTGTGTAACCCTGGCTGGCTTGGAACTTACTATGTAGACCAGTCTGATCTCAAACTCATTAAAAAAAAAAAAAAACAAAACAAAACAAACTACCTACCTCTGACTCCTGAGTTCTGGAATGAAAGGCATGTGTCCCCATGCCAGGCAAATTTTTATTTTCATTCTTATTTATGTATCTTATGTTTGTCTGCTTATCTGTATATACACTATGTATGTGCATACCCATGGAGGTCAGAAGAGGGTATCAGAACTCCTGGAACTGGAGTTAATAGGCAGTTGTGAGCCAATATCTGGGACTGGGGGGGGGGGGGTCCAGTCCCTCTATAGTCCCCTCCCAGGGTCTGGGAAGAATCTACAACCAGCTAATAATTAATCTTTGATGAAAAGAAATGAATCTATGTACACGAAACTCCTTAGTCCATACACTTTATTGTTCTGTCTCGGTTCTCTCTACAAGCTTATACTCTGCTCTCATTTTTAGCTCCTTTCTTGCCCAGTTTCTCCTAACATTTATCTATTGTCCCCTCTAGGTTCTATCTTAATTCCTTCTTTTAGTTCTGCCCCTTCTAGGTTCTCATCCATCTAGTTCTTTCCTATATCAGCTCCAGCCCCTTCTCCTTCTCTCTCATCTTGTTCTTACCCATCTGGCTCTTGTTCATCTTCCATCTCGTTCCTCTAGTCCTCTCTTCTAGCCCTTCAATCTAGTTCTTCCCCATCTCAGTTTGTTCCTCTCAAATTCTTACCCATCTAGTTCTTCCATTCTCTTTTCTCTTTTCCATCCTCTAGTGCCCTGGAAGTCCTGGTATATATACACTTACAAGCTGTATTCCCTTAGCAGTGCAAAGCCAGGCTTCCAGGGTCAAACGGAGAGGTGATAATCACATAGAGAGGCAATAATGGTTAATTATCATTTGCAACCCCAAAGGGAAGTGACCAATGGGGAAATGAATTAACTAAAGGCTAAATTTGGGTAATATCTAAGAAGAGGGATCTTATGTGCTCAACATAAGATCCCTCTTCTTAGATATTAATAAGCTCTTAAGTGTGATTAGTAGAGAATGTTATGAATCTATAGGTTGCTAGGTCAATGGGAGAAAATTAAACTGTCTTTTTTTCCCTGTGGCTCCTATCTGTCCGAGCTATCTGCCGTTTTTCTGCAGGGTGGGGAAAGTGTGCTCAGTCGCTAGGCAACCTGTGTACAGCTAGATGCCTCTGGTGATAGTTAAAGGGAGATCTGGAACTGGAGGTAAGATTTGGGAAAGGAGGAAGTTAAGCTTAATTGGCACATCTGTCAGGCCTTCTCAAACAGGTAGCCTGGATGCTTAAGTCTGTTCTTAAAGAGTACAGAGGTATCTCTGATAAGGTACTTTCCTCCATCTGGGGATGGACCTGGCCAGATGCTGCCAATGATGATAATTACAGGGAGGCTTGAACTGGGGTTCTGGTTGAGCATAGCTGTTAGCACAGAAGGTTATCTAAATATTCCTAGAAGTGGTTAGGTAAGGAGTTAGCGGTCTATAAAGTTAGTAAGGCTGTAAGAAAGGAGGGTCCGAGATAAATTGTGTAAAGCTATTACTTAACATCGACCTGACCTAGGTAGTGTCTCCTTGTGGAATTTACCTTAAATCAGGAGACTTGTTATTACTGTTAGTCCTTGAGAGTGGCTAAGGGAGATAGATATCTGATTCCAGAGAAAGGCTTTCCTGAGGCTGTTCTCCAAATACCTGGAATGTGTATGTCCAGAGAGTGATCAGTCCACACTGTTAGCCCTTCTTAGGGAAAAGTCAATTGGGAAAAACTATGAAGGCACACATGATTTTCATAACAGAATACAGCTGATATAGAACAAGCCAAATAACACCAAAAGCTCCTTGGAATTTGGCTTCCTCTGGAGGAATTCCTTGATCCCTCCAGGTAGTGATTTTGCCATAACCAGCTGAGTTCTTATGATATATTCCTGTGGCCTGCAGCAAGCCAACATGTAACTAAACCTGGGTCCTCTAGGACAGCCAATGCTCTTAGTCACTGAGCCATCTCTCCAACTCCTCAAGCACTGGTTTTTGAGTCACAAATTTTAGCAAAAATAAATTTGCAAATATAAAATCTGTGGATAATGAGGATTATGTTTGGGCTTTAGATCTAGAATGTTCCTCCAAAGGCTCATAAGTTGACGGCTTAATTCCCCAGCCCCTGGTGCTCTAAGGGGCCATGATGGAACCTTTAAGAGGAGGAGCCTTACTGGGCAGTGGTGGTGCATGGCTTTAATTTCAACTCTTGGAGGCAGAGGCAGACGAATCTCCAAGTTCAAGGCCAGCCTGCTCTACAGAGTGAGTTCCAGGACAGCCAAGGCTATACAGAGAAACTCTGTCTTGAAAAATGAAAAAAAAAAAAAAAAAAAGGTGGAGGGGCCTTGTTGGAGGAAAGTAGTAAGGGCATTCTCTTCCCTTGAAGGCTGTAACAGGGTGAGAAGACCCTGGCCCTTTTCTGTCTCACTGAATCTCGTGTGTGGCATAGGGTGCTGGGGATCAGACCTGAGGTCTTGGACAAGTACTTTACCAATGAAATATACTCACAGCCCCTAAACTGTATATATAATGTTTATTGCAAGTTATTGGCTTGGGTGACTGTGGAGACTGAGGACTCCACATTCTACAGGGGGAGTGTGACATTCTGCAGGAGCTGAAGTTCACATGTAGAAGTATGTTATTGTTCTCACTGCCGCTGGCTAAAAAAAATTATTCAGTAAAAGTGACAAGCCACAGGAGATGGTTATAGCACATTAATTGTGTGCTGGGGATCTGAATTCAGGTCCACATGCATGCATGGCAAGCACTTTCCTGGGCCATCTCCCCAGCACAGGACCAGAATTTCTTATTCAGAATGTTTTCACCAGTCCTTGAGGCTTTTCAACCAAAGAATTATGTGTATATGATCATTTAGGATAATCTCCTTTACTTAAGTCTGTTAAGTGTGTTCACAGCAGAGTTGGGGACAGTTGCCTGGGTAGACTAACATGTCAAAAGGCCATTAAGGTTCTTGAAAGAAATTGCAGATGCTTTCATATCACACTACAGTAGCCCTGTTGAAGAAGGAAACTGTGATGATTTCCTCCTATCCAGTTTCACTTTCAGTCACAAACACAACAGGACACAAAAGCCATGGTATTTCCTTTGCTGAAAAAAAATGTTGTGGCTGATAGGATGAAGCCAGCAAGACTAAAAAGGTCACTCCCAGAAATACATTTGAAGATATACATATTTAGCCAGCATGGTGGCACATGTCTGAAATCCCAGGACTAGAGAGGCAGAGGCAGGAGCTGCAGGCTCAAGGTCACCCTGTTCTAGTTCCACGCCAGAGCTACAAACAGTAAAATAAATGTATAAAAGCAAGTTTATTCATTTATTTGTGTTTTAAATTCAACTTGTGTATATGTGTGTGAGAGATGGGGAAATGAGGGCATACACATATATGTGGAGGTCAGAGGACAACTTTTGGGAGTTGGTTCTTTTCTACCATGGGCTCCCTTGAGTCATCTGTTGTTGCTGGGTCCTATTACCCCCTCAGGGGAGGGGGTGAGAAGGCATGGAGTCAATGGCACAGACACCAAGAGTCAGGTAAAAGGCAAATAGCGGACTTCTCTATTCAGCAATGGGGAGAGCTTTATATACCCTCCTCCTAGCACCAGACTGTGTCCTGATCCAGAAACATTGCATGGTCGCCCCTCATTGGCTAGGCCTGATCAGGTGACAGCGCCCATTGCTAGGCCCTCAGGCAGACTCCAGGTTAGCTCATCTTTCGGTCTCTTAGGCCTTATCTTCCTATTTATCTACCCTTTTTTATTTCTTACATGGGTGCTCAGTGGGAACCAGAGTTCTTTGTTCAGGCTTTGTTGCAACTTAAGGGAAGAGATGTTATTTTAGCTTATGGCTTCAGAATCAGCAAGGAAGGCATAGCAACAAGAGTCACTCACAGCTGGAGCATAAGGCTGCTTGCTCACATTAGGGCGGATCAGGGAGCAGAGCAGAGATGATGCAAGGCGTTCTATTGGCTTTTTCTCCAGTTTAAGACCCTAGCGCAGAGGCTGGACCCTAGTACATTGGAATAGCACCAACATTTAAGATAGGTCTTCCTAGTTCAGCTAATTCTCTGAAAAATGCCCTCACAGATATACTCAAATGTATGCCTCACCATGTTGTCAGCTGACCTGGATCTAGAATCAGCTGGGAGATGAGCTTCCAGGTATATCTGTGAGGGATTATCTAGATCAGGTTAATTGAAGTATGAAGTAGATTCACTCTTCAAATTGAAGTACACCACTCCCTAGGTTGAGTACTGTCTGCATGGAAAGGAGAAAAGCTAGTTGAGTATAAGTATCCATCACTCTTTTTCTTCAAATTCCTTCCACTTTACGTCCCTGTCATGATGGACTGTACTCTTGAATTATCAAAATAAATCCTTTATCCAATTGCTTTGGCCAGTTTTGTCACAGCAACATATAAAGTAACTATTTCACTAATGCCTTAGACATTTATCAATCCAGTCAAGTTTATAAATGAAATTACCAATCACTGGTATCAGTTGCAAATACAGATTTAAATCATCAAGAGGAGGTTCAATCCCCAGCACCCATATGGCAGCTCACAACTGTCTCCAGCTCTAAGGGATTTGACTCTCAAACATACATGCAGATAAAACATCAATGCATATAAAATAAAAATAAGTCATTAAAAATTGCTTTCAACTTTTAATTTTTAAATTTGTTTTTAATTTTTCCCCTTAATTTTTAATTTATGTATATGGGCATTTTGCTGGCATCTTCTAAGCATCATGTGCACCAAGTGCCCAAGAGAGTAGAAAAGGGCCTTGGACCCCCTGGAACTGCAGTTACAGATTGTTATGAAGTAACAGCTGAATGCTGGGAATTGAACTGGGGTCCTCTGCAACAAGAACAGCCAGTGCTCAATCATTGAGCCCCTTACTTTCCACTTAAGTGATTTCTACTTTCTATCCACACTGGCTAAGATTACAATGAGCTCAAGAAGAAAAACCGTATCTGAAACATTAAGGAGCTGGCTAAAGATTAGAGTAGCTAGCCCGGGAGTTCAAGGCCAGTCTGGTTTGCAGATTGAATTTTAAAACAGCAAGAGCTACACCGAGAAACCTTGTCTTGAAAAACAAAACAAAAAATTCAGCGCTGATGCTAGTTCCTACCAACTGGAGGGGTTTGATCAACAGTTTATACTTCTCACTGAAAGGTAAATATTAGAAGGGTCACAGCTTAGACCTAAGGCAAAATGCCAAAACAAAATGTACCTGAGCCAGCATAATTGAGATGGCCTCTTTAGTGTTAGTGTCCAGTTTAGACATGCAATGAAATAAACTACTGTCCATAATCTAAAAAAGGTGTTCAACCACAACTAATGTTATAATTACAAATAAGGGGAATGCCTCAGTGCTTCAGAGTATTGGCTACTCTTCCAGAGGACCTGGGTTCAATTCCCAGCATCCACATGGCAGCTTACAAGTGTCTGTAACTCAGTGGATCTAACTCCCTCACACAGACATACATGCAGGCCAAACACCAACGCACATATGAAAAAGCACAAGTAGCCAGGCAGTGGCAGCACATGCCTTTAATCGTGAGGCAGAGCCAGGTGATCTCTGTGAGCTCAAGGCCAGCCTGGTTTACAGAGATCCAGGACAGGCACCAAAACTACAGAGAAACCCTGTCTTCGAAAAGCCAAAAAAATAAAAAAATAAAAATAAAAATAAGGACTTCAATCACTGTAGATGTTTAGGAATTTTGCAGGAAAGATGAAGATATTAAATGACAAAACAGGGGTTTTGTCAACTGGGAACCATTAAAAGCCTAGAAAAGAGATACTCCAGGGGCTAGAAAGATGGTTCATCTGTTAGGAGTCCAGAGTACCCAAGTTTGATTCCCAGCACCCACATGATAGCTCACAACCGTCTTTAACTCTCAAACTGGGGAATCCACCCTCTTCTGGCCTCCAGCGGCATTGCATGCACCTACTAAAGACACATACAGGCCGGGCGGTGGTGGTGGTGCACGCCTCTAATCCCAGCACTCGGGAGGCAGAGGCAGGCGGATCTCTGTGAGTTCGAGGCCAGCCTGGTCTACAGAGTGAGTTCCAGGATAGGCTCCAAAGCTACAGAGAAACCCTGTCTCAAAAAGCCAAAAACCAAAAAAAAAAAAAAAGAGAGAGACATACAGGCAAAAATACCCATACACATAAAATCCAACTTTTTAAAAATTAAAATAAAGACCTAAAAGGCCTAGCAGAAGAATGAGATCAATAGAAAGTATCCAAATTAATGTTCAAAGAAAAAAAAAAAGATGGGGAAAAACTAGCCTCAATGAGTTATCAGATTAGTTTAGCATATAAATCCAGGGGTAGAGAATGATGTGACTGAAAGACATTTGAAAAATAATGGCTGAATTCAATAAGAACCTAAGGACTGAGTATGGTTGTACACACTTGTAATCTCAACAGTTGGATCTGAAGCAAGATTTCAATTTCAAAGATAATCAGGGTTACATGGTAAAACCCTATTCAAAACTACAGACTCCCAAAATAAATGTAGAATTGGTTTACTGAGGATTAAAAAGATTAATAAGAGGCCTCAAGCCCTTTTTTTTTTGAGACAGGGTTTCTGTGTAATGGAACTCAGTTTGTAGACCAGGCTGGCTTACAAAGATTTACCTACCTCTGCTGGGATTAAAGGTGTGTGCCACCACTGCCTGACTTTTCTTTTTGACATTAAAAAATATACATACATACATATATATATCATGGAGTTAGGCAAAGTGCCACACACCTTTAACCCCAGCACTCTGAGCCAGAGGTAGGCAGATCTGGGACTTTGAGCCACAACAGTTCCACAACAGGCTAGGGCATATAGAGAGCCTATATCAAAAGTAGATGGTGGCCTTGGAGATCTATCAGTGGGTAGCTGATGACCAAGAATCCTGGTGGCATGCATCTTTAATCCCCACATTACTAAAGCCAGAACCAACCCAACCTAGCCTTGAGTATGCCATCCATAAGAAACAAGACTGCTTCAAAACAAGGTGAAAAGAACTGGTAAAGTAATTTTCTGACCGCACACATATGGAATTGTTAAAAGATGTTAACCCATCAGGGAAGGTGGTGTTTGCCTTTATCCCAGCACTTGGGAGGCAGAGGCAAGTAGGTGGATGGCAGAACAGCCAGAGCTAGAGAATCCCAGTCTCAAAAAACAGAAAGATGCTACTCCTATGAGGAAAAATTCTAAACCTCAAGGATGTTTCCCTTCCCACCTCAGCCTAGAGTCAAGAATATCAGGCAGGTAAACTGAAATCTGGTAGACTTGGCAATCTCCAGTCACTAGCATCCTTAGATAGGAAACAAGCCACACCACTAGTGTGAAAAACAGATGAGAAACATGGTATCTGCCCGACTTCCTCTCACACACTCCTCCCTCAGTTTTCATGTATACTTATATTGCCACCTGCTGGAAGAATGAGAGAAAGGAGGGTCAACCATTTCCTAAAGGCAGCTTACTACTCTTCTAAAATGGCTACAAGTCCCTCCAATTCAAGAATGGGGGAGGTATCCAATTGCAAACCAGTTTTGATGACACTACAGGGTAATGATCCTGTATCCTTACTCTGTAAAAAACAAAAAACAGCTATGTCTGCCCTGCTAGCACCAGAGTCAGACTGTCCCTTTTTTGTTCTTTTCTCTGTTTTTCGAGTAAGGGTTTCTGAATAGCCCTGGCTATCCTGGAACTCACTCTGTACAGGATAGATTTACCTGCCTTTGCCTCCTGTTCCTCCTCAGCTCCATCAGTTCTACCATTTCTAATTCCCTCCCCTTAAGCTGCTTTAGCTACAAGACATTAACTGTTCTTTTTAACTAGGATGCTAGCAGAGTCAAGGGTTCCCCTCCCCAGAAAAAATGCTCCATACAAATCCAGTGCCTGTGCCACCCTAATTATTTTTCTAAATGGGAAAGGCTCTAACCTCTAAATCGCCTGTGTCATACCACATAGCCAGTCATATAGGTATAATAACACATCCTTGATGGATCACTGGGGAAAGTACAGGTCAAGGGCCATATACTTCTAAATATATTTGATGGAGCCTCTTTCCTTTAGCTGAACAAACTTCCTGTTAGGTCACTGGCTGTCCTGGAACTCAAGTGCTGGGATTCAAACTACCTACCACACAAGCTCTTATATGGCTTTACTTTTACTGCCGTTTTAGCACTGATCCATGTGCTCCTCTTTACCAATCACTATCCAGCACACCCATCTTAGGTGCAAATGCAGCATCTACAATCAACCAACCTTCCAGATCAGAAACATAATGACGCTTCTGTGTCCCCCCAAACTAATTTCCACATTTGCAGCTGGGATTCTTGAAAGCAGAAGGAACACACTTTGAATTTCCACTGGTCAGAATCTGTCTGAACAGCAGAGTTGGTCTTGCCGAGCTCTTAAGCATCATTCCAAAAGGAAGCTTTAGGAAGTATAAGTCTGGCACCAGAGTTTAGGACTTTTAATTTGTCCTAAAGTCACTGAAGCAAAAAACATGATAAACATTCTTTTACAACCCCCAACGCAAAAAAAAAAAAAAAAAAAAAAAAAAAATTAATTGTAGGAAAAAAAATCTTTTGAAATGTCCTTTAAAAGGCTCTGTCATTTAACAGGTAACAGTGTAAAACCCCAGAGTCCTTTCTTTAAAATGAATCGGGAAAGATTGGGATGGAAGGAACTATTCAAATTTCGTCTTCTTTCCTTGTGGCTTGAAGTCTCCCCCTCCTCCTCCTCCTCTGCCACCTCGGAAGCCTCCTCGACCTATAGGAAGGTAAAACATCATGAATGGGTGGTAAAATACTGGGAATTGACCTCCCACCAGAATGGTTAGGACACAAGGTTAGGAATCAGAGGTTCCAGCTTACCTCCAAAGCCTCCCCGGCCTCTGCCACCAAATCCGCCTCTTCCTCCTCTGCCACCACCTCGGCCTCCGAAACCTCCTCTACCTCCACCTCGGCCCCCAAAGCCACCTTCACCCTTAGGTTTGGCCCAGTCCAAGGTAACTTTGTTCCCATCAATTTCTCCATCTTCCATGGCCTCCTTGGCAGCTTTGGCATCTTCCTCACTATTGAAGTCTACAAAACCAAACCTAAAGCACAGAATAAAAACCACACATTTTAAAGCAAGCACATACATACACAAGAACCAAGTCATTCACATACATGGTGATTATACAGAAAGCACTTAGTATAGATCAAGAAAGATCCAAATGTGGTAAAAATCCTGGTTGGTCTGAGTTTAGATCTCAGAATGTCTCACACAACAGCCAAATATACCTCTGCTTATAAAAACAGAAGCTAAGTGCTAGTTCTGTGAACTCCCTCTTCTTCTCGTGCGAATCCATAATCTGCCACCAGCTGACAGAAAGGAGCTCAATGAGAAGATACTGCAGAGCCAAGCTGTCCATGCAGAACACACCAAAGAGCAGCATTATGTCCTACCCTTTAGAGGAACCAGTTTCCCGATCAGTGACTATTCTTGCACGAACAGAGCCCTCAAATGATTCTTTTAATGTCTCTTCAGTGGTATCCTCAGACAGACCTTTGACAAACAGAGTTTTGGATGGCTCTGGAAGAGAAAAATGTTTTGCAGGGTTTCACTATGTAGCCTTGACTGGCCTAGAACTCAGATCCATAAATTCATGTAATGCCACATTCAGCTGAAGTAGATTCTCAGTGACATTGATTTTGTAAAATGTAAAGAATACTTGTTTTTAACCAGAAAAAGCAATTAATTGCAGTAAGTAAAGAGACTATACTAGATGAGACATATCAAGTTATAAGAGAATCCAGACGCCAATCAAATCCCAAAGTTGCTGCTTTGAGCTGACACAGCTGGATCAGAACTTGACTATCTAGAGGAATTTTCTTGAGATTTCATCAATTATTTCTCAGGTAATCAGTCATCATATCCAGTTGTCATTTACTCAGCAGCAACTTAAAGAAGCCAATCCCATGTTAACATGGACACATACAAGCTCAAAATAAGCCAACCCCAGGCACACCAGGCCAAGAGGACTTACGACTTCTTGCATTAGGTGATCCCCTGGGTCCTTGTAACTCCAGCCTGATTGTTCTGCCCTCAATTTCCATTTTATTACAGGAGTTTAAAGCTTCTTTAGCATCTTCAAATGAAGCAAATTCTATAAATGCATACCTGAGGATTGAAAGTCACTACTCAGAATAAAGCTTACAAACACACAGCATTTACTGTCATCTGCATACAGAACAAGTTCAGTTCTTCAGCTTACTGGATACTAGAGTTGTAAGAATATGTCCAGCTCACATCTAGCAACATAAAAAGTAATTGTTTTACCCTTTAGATTTGCCATGTGGGTTCTGGGGCACTTTGATAAAAGTTGCTTTCTCAAATACTTCCTGAAGAGTTTCTTCTGTTGCACTGTAGGAAAGGTTACTTAAAACCAAAGTTTTTGATTCACCTGTAAGTACAAAGAAGCCACATTATTAGCAAGGCTTGTTCAAGTAAGCCTGTATAAATTAAAGCACTCAGACAAGTGGGCCATGGTGGGCTGCATAACAAGCCTGTTTTCCAACCTACCCCACAAAAGATCCCATGTTAAAAGAAACACAATGACACTTCAGCTATAGGCTGAATCCTAAGAAACACCACTCTTGATTCAAATGACTCAAAGCTCAGTAGACTGAGCATCCATCATACACAGTAATGCTTTCCTTGCTCCTTTCATTTTCAGACTTACTAGATGACTGCTCTATGCTGTCCTAGAATATTATTTAAAATATATATAGTTTAAGCCATTAAAGTATAAAACATACCCAACAAAGAAAGCTGTAATTGCATATGTTCCAATGGAAAGGATTTCAAATAGCTTTCATTTATGAATATTAAGTTAGCATTATGAACAAAGACACAAATGACTTCTAAACCCCAATGTAGAATGAACCCCTTTAACTTACCACTCCAAGTGCTATTCTTTCCAGCTCTTTCTTGCCTTTGTCCCTTCTCCCCAGTGTAGTAGAGTGAAACAGATCGCCCATCAATCTCTGCCCCCTGCTTTTCTTCAAAGTTTTTCTCTGCATCAGCTTCAGATTTAAATTCAATATAAGCAATCCTGCAATAGAAAAGAGTACAAGCAGATCCAAATAGTTATTCACTTAATAAGAAACGCATTAGGCAAATGTCATTCAACAGTGTTACCATGTAACCTTACATATATTAACCACTTACAATCATGTGCACTCAATGACTAAACCAGCTGGTGTATGATTACTGACACAACTTTTACTGTTCTTTTTCACATATTAGCTCATCTTTAAAAATCATCCTTTAAAGTCATGTGGACTATTCCAAAAAACCACAGCAATGTTAAACTGCCTACATTTTTCTCATAAAATAGGGAAGGTTAGTCCTGGTGTTACCAGGAGCCTGAGGCAAAAGATAATGCTGATTTGGATATTTGGATGCAGGCCAGCCTATAACAGTGATCACAGCTTCAAAACCAATCAGCTGGGCTTGATGCCACTCCTTTAATCACAGCACCTAGAAGGTGGAGGCTAGAGGACCAGTTCAGTCTCTGCCTACAAAGTCTGAGGCCGTATAAACTTCATGAGACCCTGTAGGAGAGGGGAAGGTAACACTCAACCACCAACTTAAATACCTTTTTGTTAATAAAGCTCAATATTCAGACACAAAACATACCCTTTACTCTTCCCATCCTGGCTAACCAATCTGATCTCCAGGGCATCTTCAAACACTTCTTTTAACTCATCCTCAGTGATGTTGAAAGAAAGGTTCTTTGCTAAAAGTGTTCTTGCAGCTCGAACTAGATTAAAAGAAATTCAAGTATATCATTTAGCAAGTTACAAAAGAATAAAGCAAATAGCTCCTATAAAGGACAAGGTTCTATGCGAAGAATGAAGGGATAAGGGATGGAGAGTTGGCTCAATGGCTAAGAGCACTTTGCACGAAGGACTCATATTCAATTCTTAGCACTCACACCAGGCAATCATGTCCTCTACATATATACAAACATGCAGGGGAAAGAAAAAAAGAAAACCAACCCTACCCAATCCATTTAACATGTGCCAATACAGAAAAAAGCAAAGGCACAAGGGTAATTAGGAGCCTGATACAGTTTAATAAAAGAACCTGATTTACCCAATCTCATTGCTAATGAAAATCGAATCCCATGACTGAAAGACATGAAAATACAAATCTAAAAATTTTCGAGCAATGACATTAACAAAAATAGAGGATGACATCTGACCTATTAGCCTGTCAAAATGCAAGCCCACTAGAAACACTGTATAAAGTTCCCCACAGTTATACGTATTAAGGTGTATATGAATTGTTTATTTTGATTTAGGTCCCATCTCTAAGATATCAAGAATATGGATTATTCCACAATTAGTGATATGGGCCTATACCCACTAAGTTCATGACCTGTAAGAACTACAAATTGAGTTTATAGCTACCTTGTCAGATGTTTGAAAGGGGACTGACGATAAAGTGCTTGCCTAGCATGCAGAGGGCCTAGGTTCAATTTTCAGCACAGCTAAATAGAAAACAAACTTCAAAATTCCAATTCTGTGAAGTATGCCCTTTGGGTACGAAGAATTCATTTTAAGAGATATTTCAACTATAGTTCTTTTACTGTGTATACCTGATGCAAATGTGTTCAGGACAGTTCTGGAGTTTTTCCTACTTTGTGTGGCTTCTAGGGATCAAAATCAAGTTATCAAGCTTTGCAGTAGGTACTTTTACTCACTAAGCTATCCACTCTGCCAGCCAATACAATTTCCTGAATAAGACAATCCCTGTTTGCTGAGTATAACACACTCCTATTAACAGCAGTCTGATTATCTAGTGAGCTTTCAGGACTGTCAAAGACCAAGACCCTCTCGTTCAGAACAACTAAGATTATATTCCCTTTTCGAATTCATAAAGTAGAAAGCAGCTGTACACCCCAAGAATTGAACTTGTCACGACTTCTCATGCACCTTAACCCATGTCAATCCCATTGGTTTACTAAGGAGAAGGGTCAAAGTATACCTCCTAAGTCAACCAGACCCTTTTACGTACCTTTCTTACTATCTCTTCCTTTTGGTTTTTCAAGTTTAATTTCATTGCCAAACACTTTTAAACCAGTGAGCTCCAAGGCCTTTTCTAGGTCTTCAGCAGACTCAAAGTCCACATAACCAAATTTCCTTAAAGATGAAAAGGACAAGATTACAGGCATTAGAGAAATTTAGATCATCTTCATCTCCCAAAGAACCAAATCTATGTACCAAGACATGACAGCAAATCTACCTAGATTTCTTCATTTACCACACTGTAATTGACAGTACTAGCTGGAAGAGGATTTGCTAAGTACTTCTAGCTAGAAACATTCACCACGACTATTCAGATCCAATAGTCTGAGACATTGCCCAAAGTGCCAAATTTTTAAACTTCCTGTAATTTGACATAACACCAAGTCAAATATTGAAATTTCCAGTTTGCAGGTTCCATGATATGATGACTTATTAGATGTCTAATCTTTATTAAATTTTATATATATATCCATCCCCATGGGATGGGAGAAGATAAAAAGTGCTAGCTAATCCACATGTAATATTCAATGAAAAATTTACCTATTTGTACCAGTTCTGACATCCACAACAGCAAGATCATTTTTAGCAAAAAGTTCACTAATGGCAACTTTTAATTCAGCAACAGACTTGTTTGGATTAAGGTTTCCAATGAAGAGATTGAAAGGTGTTGTTGATTCTGAGCCTGCACAGAAAATAAACTTTTAGTTCACTTATAAGCTCACTACACATAATTTTCAGCATAAAACTTTCATGAAGCACATCAGCATATTGAATCTCCACACTAGGTTTCAGTATTAAGTCCCTTTGTCATTCATCACTTGTGCTATTGCTACTTTTATCTACTCTCACGTCCGGAAATTTTAAAGGATTACCTTCCACTTTCTGTTTCTTGGCTTCAGGAACTTCTTTCTGTTTGGTCATTTCCTTCTTCCGTTTTCCAGGTGCTGCTTTAACAGGCTCTGGATAAGATTTTTAGTGTCATTCATGAGTAGGCAGATATTTAAAGCACTTCCATTAAAAAAAAATTACTGAGGTCAGTATACTTTTGAATTTAATTTGGTTACCTTCTTCTTCCTCTTCCTCATCTTCCTCCTCCTCCTCTTCATCATCGTCATCATCCTCATCGTCTTCATCCTCTTCATCATCCTCCTCCTCCTCTTCAGCCACATTCTTGGCTTTCACAGGAACAACTTTTGCAGGAGCTTTCTTTCCTTTAGCAGGTGTGATCTCCATAGCTTCTTCCTCTGAGTCTGAAAGAAAGATAGCTCAGCAAACAAGGCATTTGCTGCCAATCCAGAGAACATGAATCCTACACACATTAAAAAAAATCTTAGAAAGAAAATGAAATCCTGACAACACGCTAAGTTATGGAAATCTAATCATGAAGCGGTCAGGGGACGGACATGCAGTGTTATCTGCAAAACTTAGCTCTAATTACCTGCAAACAGAAATCCACTTACCATCTTCGTCTTCCTCTTCATCGTCATCGTCATCTTCCTCATCGTCATCGTCATCCTCATCCTCTGAGGCCGGAGCAGCAGCAGCTACTTTAGATGGTTTCACTCCTTTCATTACTGGTGGCTCAAATTCATCCTCTTCCTCATCATCTTCATCTTCATCACTGTCATCCTCATCATCATCGTCGTCGTCTTCATCCTCATCACTGTCTTCCTTCTTGGCATTCTTACCATTCTTAGCACCCTTGGCTGGAGTGATAGCTCCCTTCTTACCAGGGGTTGCTACCAATGCTTTTGCTTGTGTGGCTCCCTTTTTACCAGGTGTAGCAACTGCTTTAGCTGGTGTTACTGCCTTCTTGGCTGGTGTGGCTGCTGCCTTTTTGCCAGGGGTAGCAACAGCTTTCTTAGCTGGTGTGGGAACTGCACCCTTTTTTGTTTGTGAAACAACTACCTTCTTTGCTGGAGTTGTGGTAGCCTTCTTGCCTTTTTTCTGAGGGATTACAACCTTTAAAAGCAAACAAATCATAAGACTTCCCAATATCCAATGCCATCTTAAGATATTGACACTAACTTTGAGCTCAAGAACACCGGCATTAGATATGTGTTAAACCCCGGAGTCACAGGACTGCAGAGATGCCTCAGCAGTTAAGACTACTTGTTACTCTAGTGAGGACCCAAGGTCAGTTCTCAGCATCCACATGATGGCTCTAACTCTAGTTCCAGGGGATCCAAGAGCATTCTTCTGCCCTGAGGGCACCAGGCATGCTTAGCACACTCACACACACACAGATAAACACATAAAAATAAATCGTAGCCAGGTGGGTGGCAGAGGCACAGGCCTTTTATCCCAGCACTCAGAAGGAAGAGGCGGAGGCAGGCGGATCTGTTTGAGGCCAGCCTGGCCTATAGACTTCCAGGATAGGAGAGAAGGCTCCAGAGAAACCCTGTCTTGAAAACCAAAAAATAAATCTTAAACCTCGGAGTCAGAGTACATGGCTTTCTATATGCTTACAAACACCCAAGTTTAAGAAACCCTCATACATGAAACTGGCCTCCAACTCCACTCCTACACCTCAGCCTTAAATACTAGAGTCACAGCAAAGAAATATCTATTTTACTTTCATTAAAAAAAAAAAAAAAAAAACCCACCCAAACCACATTTTGTTTGGTCATTACTAGTACAGCTCTTCTAAACAAGAAATCTGAGCATGATCATTTTATAGCCCAAGCTTGCCTGAAATTCAAGAATATCCGTACTCCTGCCTCCTGAATGAAATGAGCATGTCTTTAAATGAACCAACAGTAACAGTGTCCCAGATCTAGCAAACTGGTAAATGTTAGCCTTCCATCCATATCAGATGTATTTTATACATTGAGTGTATATAGTATATAGTTCATACAATAGGCTGAATGAAGCTTAGTGTTTGGGGCCAGCATGCATGATGGAATACTGGGAATGAAAGATAAATCTTGCTTGGAGAACAAGAATTAAAATTACCCTCCCATCTAAATAGTGCTCAGTTTAAGTCCCTTAAACACAGAAAAAATAAACCCATATACATAAGATAAATATGCCTTTGCTATGAGACTCTGACTCCAAATCTCATCTAAAATCAAAGTCCTGGGTTTCTTAATAATTTTTCTGTCATTAGCTGCAGTGGCTAATGCCTTTATTCGGAAGAATCTGAGGCCAGCCTGGTCTAAATCAAATTGAGTTCTAGGACTGCCAGGGTCATGTGGAGACCCTGACTCAAAACAAAACAAAAAAAAAAAAAAAAAAAAAAAAAAAAGGGAATTTCGTGTCATAATGTCCTGCCAAAATGCATGAAGCCATGTTGACTGTGGACTGAATGAAAAATAACCTAGGATAAATCCCACCTTCCAAAAAAGGAGGGAAAATAACCCCACAAATTTGTGGGGAAATCTTTTCAATACAGCATATGAAACCTGACTGAAGAGTGAAATGGACATCCCTCCCAGGTGTTAAACTCAATTAAATAGTCAAATGATTATCGATGGCAAGAAAGAACTTGTCACTCAACGATTTACTACATACTAGAATACCGTATTTCTGATAAAGATATTTAATGCAGGGATAAAAAATTTTTTTGAGAAAGGGTTTCTTTGTGGAGCCTTGGCTGCCCTGGAACTCATAGAGATCCTCCTGCCTCTGCCCCTGCAACGCTAGGCAGGAGGCACCACTGCCTGGCTCTTAAAACTTTTTTTTTTTTTCAACTAGCTGTATACCTCTTCTCCACTGCTGTCATCTTCTTCATCTTCTGACATTTCTTCGTCTTCACTGTCTTCTTCCACTTCCTTTGGGGGAGGAGCCATTTTCTTGGAGTCACCGTGGGTTTTGCCGGCCTACACAAGTGTACACAAAATCATGCCTCTACCCGATTGTTAAGCCATTTTGTGCTTTGCCATAATCTTTCTTAATGCCCACTGGGCTATACTGTTAAGGAGCACGAGCATGAAAGACATCATTTTGGCAATGTATGACAATTCCCTGGCAAATTTTGCTGAGAGCCACCTATAGTTTGTTCTTCCTGTTCAGGCAACTTAACGCTCTTTACCACGAACTACCCACACGTTTCGAAAGTCTACTAGTCACTGCACACTTCACATTCTAGCACCTTCTCCTGAGTTCAACTTACAGGTAACCGTCTAAACTACTTGCTGTGGCGAGGGGTATCCTGAAAGCCCCTTTTTAGGAGGAGCATCTCTGCACCATGACTACTTCCGACCTTCTCATACTGGAGGCGGGCCACGTGGAGGCCACGCAGGCCACCATGCGCTTCCCCAGAGTCCACCACGTGTCGGTCCGCCCGTCACGGGCAGGCAGGGATGGCGAGGCCTCCCACCCAGGCCAATCCCGCTGCCCCGGCACTCCCTCACCCCGAAACGCGCGACACCCGCGGGGCGCCAAAACCCACGTGGCGAGCCGCGCAGCGGAGCACGTGCGACAGGAGGCGGGGCCCGGCGCGCGCCGGTCGCACGCGGCGGGTCCCATCTGCACACGGCGGGCCCGGCGCCCCCTCCCCACTCCCGGCTCCCCGGACCTCAACCCCTCCCCTACACACACCCCGACCCCCGGCGCACCCAGCACCCACCCTCCCGGAACCGGCCTCAGCTCTTCTCCCCACCAAGTCAGAGGCCAAACACCGCGAGACCTCCCGCTAGTCGCGCGAGACTTCCCTCGGCATGGCGCCCTCGAACGCGCCCGGGATTGCGCGCAGGCCCTCCTCCCCTCAGCGCCGCGCGCGCGCGCGCCCCTTAGAGAGCAGGCCCAGGCGTCCGCGCCCGCGCTCGCGCGCCCTGCAGGGCCCCTCACCTTGGCGAGTTTCACCATGATGGCGGGTTGTGACGACGGCGCGTGTGGCGGAGTGAGCAGCTCAGGGGAGCCCAGGGGAGCCCGCGCGAACTCGACGACCGCGACGGGCGCTGAAGACTGGAGCACGTACGACCGACTGCCCGCTACAGCTAGCGTCTGAGGCGAAAGACTGAGCCTGCCCAGTAATCGCCCCTGGAAAGGCGACGACGCCGTCCTCGTGACCCCGCCTCCACCAACCAGCGCTCGCCTCCGTCCCCGCGAGCCAACCGCGAGCCTTTAACCCAGGACGGCGTGGGGCGGGGCTCTGGCGTCGCTGGGCGGGGCTGCCGGGGGCGGGGCCTGCCGGCCGCGCCCGGGAGGCGGGACTAGTTCTGCGCAAGGCGGACGTTGACTGGTTGGTGTGCGGCCCGCTCTCGCCGCGCCTGCGCGGTAGGACGCGCGAGTTTGGCGCGGCGTGTGAGAGACCCGGGGGCGGCGGAGTGGCGCGGCCGCCCCCAGGTGCTCGGACGCGCCGCGGGCCTCTAGGCTCGCGTGCCCGGGGGCGTGCTCGTGGGTTCCCCCGCGCCGCGGAAGCCTGCGCCCCGCGTTGGACTTCGCTACGGCCTAAAGTGGTCGCCACGCGTTCCCGCCGAGGAGCTGGAGAGCGCCGGAAGTTGAGGGCCCCGAGCCCACTTGGGCCGCTCCCGGCCCTCGCCCTGCCCTCTGTGCAGCGGAGAACCTTCCCTTGGCTATAGTGGTGTGTCTAGGGCCACCGTTCTCCTGAGAGCTCCTAATAAAGGCAGTTGCACGTGTGTGTGTGTGCGTGTGCGCGTGTGTGCAGTGCACAAACAGCTCACTTAATGTCTCACCTCGCGCGGTAGGTGTAACTCCTAATTGGGACAGGCTCGGAGAGGTGGTTTCCCGGTGTGTGGTGGGGAGGGCTAAGTGCATTGCCCCGTGTGTGGGACTCGGGTTCCGAGCGTAGCATTCCGGAGCGCTCCTAGGGTATTTTCTGGACATCTAAAACCCTTCCACAGATTCAGGGTTCCGTCAACTGACAGTGTTGGTTGAAAACCACCTGTGGAGATTTTGCTGGGGTTGTTAAGACAGGGTCTCACTATTTGCCCCTTATGTCCTGGCGCTCACTATGTAGACCAGGCTAGCCTCGACCTGCCTCACGTGTGTGTTGGGATTAAAGGCATGGGCCACCACGCCTGGGCCAACCTCGGGAGATTTCAATGCAAGCGGGGTGTGTTGGGTCCCAAGTTTTCTATCTGAACACGGGCCTTTGGAGATCAGTAGAAAATTACTACGTGATGCTTACTTACTAAGGCCTTCCCAACACTCAGGGCTCCACACAAGTGCTCAGTGGTCAGGGCATGAGGTGGGGACCAGTGCTGTAGTGTGGGGGTTTTGTCTTTATAGAGAGACCGGTGACAAGGGTCACTGTAAGCATTGCAGCTCGGATGGAAAGGAATCCTGGCAGTCAGGAGCCAAGGAATACCTCAAAGTCACTTTAAGCATAGCAGTTCACAGTTCCACTGCATGTAAAGGTTTCCCCAATGTAACAACTATGCTCTGGCAGGGGAGGCTTTCCCCAGCAAACGTGTTACAGTTCTGCTCTGATACCCCCTGCTCTGACTTCCGAAAAAAGATCTCACCCAAACCTCATTCAAGAGATTTATTAGGAAGTGAGAACCCAGGAGGCTGGCTGCCTGTTCCACGCTGGAAAAAGGCAGCTCCGAACTGGACAAGTGACAGCGCTTATGTAGGGCTTCTTAGGGATGGAGTTTTTTCAGGGTGGGAATTGGTCAGATTTCAAGCTCAGGGATTGGTTGGTTTTTCAGGCTGAGGGGTTCCAGGGCAGAGTGTTTCTTTTACTGGCCTTTTTAGCCTTTTGGCTCTGGTTTCAGGGTCAGGGTGTGTTTCTTTGGCTGGCCCTTTTACCCCACAGTCCCACCTTGAGCTATATGGTATGAAGCTAAGAGAGACTCCTGGGTAGAGGGACAGGAAGAATGGAGTGAGCCAAGACCCTGCGTTTCCAAGCAGAGCAGGCTAAAGGCACTTGGGAGGAGACAGATGAGCTCTGGGTGTGCAATGACGTGAAGGAATCCCAGCAACATTGGCGTGACTTCTCGTTTTCAAGCCCATCTATCTGTGTGGGCCTTCCTCAGCCTTCTGGTGTAAAGTGCCACTAGGAGACTCACTCTTGCACCCTAAGTTACACTCTTAGGTGTTATCGCTTGCCTAGTATTTTTCTTGGCCATTTATTGTGAACTTGTCCCTTCCCCAGACAGGATAACACAAACTGTTGTCTGCTGTATTCCTGGTGCCTCAAGCATTGCCTGGTACATAACAGTGTTGAAAATTACTTGTTAACTGCAGTTAGGGACATAGCACTGGTACACACACCACCACAAAAGGAAATGTGAACTTAACACAAGTTTTTAAGTGAAGTGGCAGCCGCAGGGACACTGATGTCAAACGGTGTTCCTGTGTCACCAACACCTAATACATGTGATGCTTTCCAGGTAGCAGACTCTATTCCAGCTCTTTAGAAATTTTAAATTCATAAATTTATCCAAAATAGGCTGAAAGCACCTCTGTTCACAGACAGGAGGACAAAGAGTTAATTTGTCCAGTCACAGAACTAGTAAGGAGACAGGACTGGAGGGGGCAGATATGCCTGAGTGCTATCACTTACTACCTGATTTTTTTTTGTGCTAGGGTCACAGATGTGTGCTGTCAGCCCGTGCTGTTTTACAGAGATATTGGGGATCTGAACTTGAGTTCAGTTTTTTGTAGCAAGCACTTTATTGTAATCAAAAGTTTTCTCCAGTCCCGCCCAGCCCTGCGGTCCTGCAGCTGCTTATAAAATAATCACTCAGGGGCTTAATATAAAAAACGAACTGTATGGCCTATGGCGGGCCTCTTGTTAGCCAGCTCTTATATCTTAAATTAACCCATTTCTATTAATCTATGTTTTGCCAGTGTTCTGCTTTACCAGTCTGCTGGCATGTTGCTCCTTGGGCGACAGGCTGGCATCTCTCTCTCCTCTTCCCATATCTCTGGTTGGATTTCCCACCTGACTCTAAGCTGCCTTGCCATAGGCCAAAGTAGCTTTATTTATCAACCAACCTAACATCAGCTTCACAAACGGGGAATACATACCATATGACACTATAGCTTCTTTGAATGTCCTCAAATCTAACATTTGCGCAGAAGTCCAGTCAGCTCATACACAGCCTTGAGCACTTGGCAGTTCCTGTAAGGTTACTGGATAGATTAAAGTTGGCAGTTTGAAAGTCTTAGGCTGTTTCTTTGTAACCTTATAATGCAATGCTGAGATTGGTTCACCTTTAAATTCTTCTGTCTGGGTCTGAATATCTCTATACTCTTTTTTTGTTTGTTTGTTTGTTTGGTGTTTTTGGGTTCTTTTTGTTTTGTTTTGCGAGACAGGGTTTCTCTGTGTAGTTTGGGTGCCTGTCCTGGATCTCACTCTGTAGACTAGGCTGGCCTCGAACTCACAGAGATCCACCTGGCTCTGCCTCTTGAGTGTTGGGATTAAAGGCGTGTGCCACTGCTGCCCAGCTATAGTGTTTTAACAAGTTTTCCCAAAAATTTTATCTTGGCACTCATATTAACCAACTTTTTTGATGATAAAACAAATGATCAAACAAATAATATTTATAATTGACATTACATACATCTACATTAATTATCCTTTCATTTAATTGTTCCATTTTTAGAATGTCAATCGTATTAACAAACAGAAACCAAACACTCTCCATTGTAAAAATGTTTCCCATTTTTTAATGTGGGAAAAAACTTCCTTTTAAATAAGTCTTCTGCTGTGGGATGTTCTGTATGGCAAATGTGTTGCTGATTGGTCAATAAATAAAACACTTATTGGTCATTGGCTAGGCAGGAAGTATAGGCGGGACAAGGAGGAGAATAAAGCTGGGAAGTGGAAGGCTGAGTCAGAGAGACACTGCCAGCTGCCACGATGACAAACAGCATGTGAAGATGCCGGTAAGCCACGAGCCATGTGGCAAGGTATAGACTTATAGAAATGGATTAATTTAAGATATAAGAACAGTTAGCAAGAAGCCTGCCACGGCCATACAGTTTATCAGCAATATAAGTCTCTGTGTTTACTTGGTCGGGTCTGAGCGGCTGTAGAACTGGCAGGTGAGAGAGATTTGTCCTGACTGTGGGCCAGGCAGGAAAACTCTAGCTACATTCCTCCCTTTAAGAAATCTTAATTGACTGACCAAATCTGCTGATAATGATGATTCAGATGACAGTGTGGCAGCAGCCTGAGGAGGGGGCCCAAGGAAAACCAGAATCCCCCAGGAGAGGAAAGAAGCCAAAAACCAGCTTTCTGCACCAGGGAACGTGTGAAAGCAGCTAATTCTGGGGTGTTTGGAGCTTGACCCTGGAGAATTTGCTGCAGAGAGGCTGCAACAGAAACTTTGCCAGTAGGGTAAAGACTCCTGGCCCAGGTTGGGTGAAGATTCCAGCAGCGTGTATCTCCGGCCTGAGCCTCAGGCAAGCGACTTTTTCATGAATTCATGCCCCCCAAGTTGAATGCCAGGTGTTGTTTGAATCTTAGATGGTCTTATAATAAAAATCCAAAGCCAGATATTGGGGTAAAGCTGAAAGATCAGAGAAGCAGAGCAAACCACAGCCAACCTCACCTTGCCAACTCCTCAATCGATCCTGTTTCCTCAGACTGAAAGCCTCTGAGTCCTTACCTGAAAGGATCTCAGCCTTAGTTCCTGTTTCCTCATGCTTTATATACCTTTCTCCACCCAGCCTTGTCTTGGGATTAAAGGTGTGTGCCACCACTGTCTGGCCTCTATGTCTAATCTAGTGGCTGGCTCTGTCTTCTGATCCCCCAGCAAGTTTATTAGGGTACACAATATAATCACCACACTGAGTCATCTTATTATCCCAAGGAGAGAGGACTTAAGACCAAAAGAATAAGGTCAGTTTCCCCACATTAAAGGTCCTGCCATTTTTTACTGTGCTTCTCTCTTTTAGTTCCAGCGTCTGACAGCACATATCAGCTTTTTTTCTTTTTGAGATGGCCTTTTAGGTAGCCCAGGTTGACCTCTGCCTTCTGACAATTGACATTACAGGTGTGTTCCTCCATACCTGGATCT